ATCCCAAACTATAGTAAGTCGGGATTTTGCCAACATGTATATTCATACAGGGAGGTCCCCAAAATTCCGGGTCGGGATGCATCGGAACTCTGATCGGGTGGACCGGGATTGATTGATTTTGCCCAATATCACCAAGAATTTTACTTATAATTTGTCACTCGACCTAAAACCAACCAACATGATTACGAAATACACATATGGGATCTAGAGTCTCTAGGATTATGCTGCGATGCATTATGCGCATAATTTGCAATTTTTACTATATGAAATCGCATAATTGGCTTATTTATATGCACATGTAAGCAAAATTTGATTGGCTAAAAAAGTTAATCTGTTTGTGCATTTAACTGTAATCACCTGACTTGACATACTTTTCTGAATTTAATTGGCTAATAACTTAAAATTTCGCATAATTTGCATAATTACTATTTGTCGCATGCATAATTTGCATAATTACTATTTGTCGCATGCATAATTTGGCAATCTTCGCATCATAATCCTAGACACTCTAATGGGATCCCGTCTCGTGCCCACGTGATCACCAGACTCTTCCTGGAATCAGGGAGAAAAATTCAGAACCAAAATTAGGTGCGCGATGCGCACCTAGTTTTAACTTTAATGTGCGCTTTGCGCACTAAATTTTAAAGTTAATGTTTACATGCCGCACATATAACTAATTACAGTGTGTGTAAACTACCACCGTTAAATTTACTTTACAATAAAATTATAGTATCAGCTGTAACAGTCTCCATTGCATCTCTAACATTAGTTTTTTCGATTATTGTGATAATAGTCGATCTTAAAGAACGATTTTCGATTTGTCAATACAATGGTCAAATAATACTATAATAGTTCTGCTTTATGTTCTGAGCCAATTAATAATTTTATATGATTTACTAATAAATACAATAAAAATTTTAATAGCATAAGACAATAGTAAAAAGGATTCTGATGTGATCACTTTTCTACGTGGCCTTGTAACCAACACAGGAATTTATAAATTTCAAGACCCGGTTAATGATCGAAGTAAACCATCGATTATGAGCATTATATATTGTATAGAATGAAATTATTCTTGAAATAGAACTATTTATCAATGAAGTCCTATATAGTTTTTTCATGAATCTGGAATATTTCATATTCCTCCATTGTAAAGGATGAACATGAAGAAACGTAAGTAATTTCTTCTCTAATTAGTTTTCCATAATAATCTGTGCATTTGTAGCAATAACATGTCTCATTATTATCGGAATTATACATAATTAGACTAGCAGTAAAAGTTGATCCATAACTTATAATGACAATACATTTCATCTTTTCTATATTTTGCATAACTTAAATAGAAGTTTGGACAGCGCCATTTTTCAATGAGAAAATAAAGCTCTCACTGTTTTTAAAATCTGTGAATGCGTTATTCCATCTAATTGGATTATATCCACTAAGAATTTCATCAGTGCATTTAACCTTTGTAACAATAATCAAATATTTTTGTTTATTACATAAATTCCAAAATGAATCACGAGTAAACCCATCTCTGATTCCACGAAGGAGTAATTTGAATTCATATGAATTATTAGTTGTAGGATACGGTTCAGTTTTTTTATCAATCCATGAAGCAATCTCAGCTACATTCTTCATTAATAACTTTCAAAAATAGTTCTGTTGATCTATATGGCAATTCTGGTGTTAAATCACACGAGGTGGAAGAACTATGGTCGATTTGAAGTCATATGTCTTTTAACTAAATCATTCCAAAGATCTTTTTCAAGAATTTGTTGATATGGTTGAATTTGGTCGTAAATATTATCACCAGAGATTTAAAAATAACGGATAAGAGGTGAACAATTTTTTAAAGTAGTTTTTAATGCTAAAATATTTTCATTATACCAGTCCTCAGCCCGTTTACGAATGTAATTCCAAATTTTAACTTTCTCCATTTGTAAATCGTCTTGTTTAATTAATGAAATTAATGCATTTTCTTGAAGAGATGAAAATCTTCAGATTCGAAAACTTTACTTGGATACTTTACCAAAATATCATTACACCATTTTTGTAATTTTAAAGGTTGTTATTTTGGAAAGTTTCTCGCTAAAATGTAAACGAAGCCAATGCGCATTTGACTCAACTAAAAGTTTTCAAGATATTTAGCCAACTCCTCAAGAATAAGTTCATATAAAACAAACATTAGTTAAAAAAATAAATGATGCTTCAAGGTTTTCTAACAAAGCTATTCCTATATAAATATATCTTTATTTATTAACAATAAGAAATAATATTAATAATTTCATATATACTGTGTATATGGTAAATAACAATAACTTACTTGATAATGAATGCTAATTGTTGAATAGAAGTATTTCTTTATAAATTGTGATCTGTAATTAAATTTTAGTTATTTTTACATATGGATATTAATTTGCTCATGGAAGAATTATAGTCCCAGTATATTAGCAAAAATTAGGCTAGTATTAAGCAATAATAAACTAATTTTATTTGACACGTTGATTACTAGATTATTAGTAAAATTTATCAATTCTTTCTCATAATTTGGTAATCTACTGAATTTTGGCCAATCTAATCTGATTTATAACATATCAAGTTACCTTATCTTAGACATAGACATTTGGGCGTGTTTAACTACTAGTATAATGTTATAAATTTAGAATAATATAAAAATGTGCTGTAATGTATTTATTCTAGTAATTGCAAAGGTTTAATAAGTAAGTACCAATAAAAAGTATAAACCAAAAATTTATTATTTAAAATAATAAAATCTCTATATAGATATTTTTATGTTTGTACTAAAATTTTAGAAATTTACAGTTTTTAAAATAAAAGTTAATTTTAATATAAGAATCATATTCTAAAACTTAAATTCTATGCTCTCTTAACAACCAATACTCAAAAGCTTTTTCAAAATCGAATGAATCAATTGAGGAACCATTTAAAGCAACTATTAAATGATTATTAAGTGTATCAATACTCATTTGTTTATGAAGTTTAGTTTTTATCATGAAAAAACTCTCTCAACTGTTGCATTTGTAACAGGAATAATTAATAAAAGTTGAATTAAAGTAGAGATAGCAGGAAAATCAAAAAAAGAAGTATTTGTAAAAATAAGGTCTTATGCATCAATAAATCTAACTGACCAATAATTTTTAAGAAAAATTTAACCATTTCCCCATTTATTAATTAATAGTCGTTTGTTAAGCGGTGGTTTAAACTTTTTACTATTAATAGTTTTTTTATTCTATAAAAATCACTGAGAAATTTAATTTCCTCATTGCCATAATTAGATAATTTACTATCTAATTTTGGTAATCAAATATTTTTAACACATTATATAATTCTTGGTTTGGAAAGCGATTATTAAGACTTTCAATAATTGCTAATGCAAATTCAGAAATAAATGATGGAAGTTGATAAATACATAAATTATTGTTTGCCGTATACTAGGACTATAAGTAGGTAAAACCTTATCATTGCCAATAAACTGTGCTTGAATTGCATTAATTATTATAGTAATATATTGTTGAATATCAGTAAATGAAATATAATCAGATTGAAAAATATATATTAACTTGTTCATTATAAAAAAATAATTAGCTAAAAACATAGTTATGATTTCAAATTTTTGATCAATATCTGCTAATTACTTGCTGCTTCTTCTAATAAAGCTCCTTTAACTGATTCTAAATATCAGTGAAAATTATAGATAACATTTAAAAAAGAAAGCCAGTGAGTAGATATAATATTTAGTAATACAAGCTTTGGTTCTTCTAAAGTATTTTGTATTATTTTTAAAGTTAGCAACTATTTATAAAAGCTACTAAAATATAGATAGATTCCTTTAACCAATGTGTTATATTTTTTAAAATATATAATTTGTTCTGTAGCATCTTGACTAGCAAGATGTAATTGATGTGCTATACAATGATTTTCTGTTAAATAAGAATTATACTTTTTGAGACAAGCAGCAACACTATTTCAATGTCCAAGCATTGTGCTAGCTCTATCACTTCCAAAATAAGCCAAATTTTTAATATTAAATGATTTTGCAAGTATAAATCTTTCAAGATCTTCAGTAATTGATTTTGCAATACAATTATTAAGTTTAGTGTTTGTAGTCAACTCTAATTTATCGACTTGACCAAGTCAATATTTAAAATCAGTTTAGCCAACTAAGTTAGAGTCGATCTTCTTAATTGGTTAATTAATTTCATGTGACTTTAAATAGATATGATTGGTTAATCACTTGCTTATTAAATATACTTTACATTCCTAAAAAAAAATTTAATACTTTTTCAACAACTTATTTTGATTACTAAGCAAATCTAATTTTATTTATAAGTATAGTATATAATTTATATTTCAAATTTTAAAACAAAAAAAAAAACTTAAATCCAAAAAATTTATATTTGGATTAAGTGATCTCGTACAAATATGGTAAAAAAAAAATCTAATTTTTAATACTAAATTTTATAATTTATAAGCCAGGATAGGTGTTTATTATTCTTGAGTTTTCTTTTAAAAATAATAGATCATGAACTGTATCTGTGTTTAGACGATTATGTTTTTTGTTATAATATTACTCGCATCAGAAAAAAGTCATTCAGAAGGTACTGAAGTCACAGAAATGCTAAGAAAAATTCGGGCTTGTTCTGTGAGAAGAGGTAAAGCACTTTTGTACTCATTCCACCAGCTTAAGGGATTACACTTCTCATAACATGGGTCCTTGGAATCATATTTAAGGATTTGTGAAATTGAAAGATAAATTTGAAGTTCAGTATCAATCAGAGAAGAAGGTGAAGCTTCAATTCCATCATCAAAAAAAGAAGACATTTCAGTATTTGAAGCTTTATTGGTAGTTGGTAAATTATTTGTACAATTAGAAAGTTCAATTTTTTCACGTAACTCTCAGAGCACTTCTTGCTGTATTGTAGATGAGACAGCTAATAATGTCTTGAAGCAGGGATCTAGAAATAAAGCAAGCTATCTGACTATTTCTGAATCACTCCATTGAGATACTATTGATTTGCAAAGACTTTTGTGTGTTTTAATAATATCAATATTTGTAAGTTTGTTCTCTATTTGATCTAAATTTTTGAAAAGGTGTTGTATTGTTGGATATATCATACTCAATATTGGGTATTGATTGCCTCCTATAAATGTTAATACTCTTGCAAATAGGCGTAAAAGTTGGCATAACTCTTCCAGGCCTACATATGAGAAAAAAAAATAAAAAATTTTTTAATTAGCAATAAGTTACAGCTAATAAATAGTGGTGAAATTCATTTTCAATCCTTTTAATTTCAACAATAATTTCTATATTTTTAATATTTTTGGGTAATTTCACTGCAATTTATAGTTATAGCAATATTTGCCATACCTCATTATTGTTACAGCTATCTCTAATTTTGAATTACTACCTGTCTATTTTTTATCAGTAAGCATTTAAATTAGTATTATCAGCATGAAAAGTATGGTTAGGATCATTTACCAAACTTTTAGCCAATTCTAAAATGATTCTCAAAGGTCTAAAAGCTGCTGGAGAACAAGATAAGTAGAGTTCTATCTAGTAGCAGTGTCACTTGATATGGGCTCTAAAGTTCGCATATTAGTAGTATCTTGATTTTCTTTTTTTTTTTTTTTAATTATCACTTTCTGGATTTTTTGAAACAATGGCCAATATTTGTTACAGTTTACTAAAAAATTATTTAATGTTTTTGCATGTACAATTAAGGCTTCACATTTTTTTAAATCATCTGTGACCAAAAGATAAATAGTATGGGCTATATAGCCAAGGTGGGTAATATCTAATTGCCTGATTGCTTTAACTATTAATGCTGTATTATCAGTTGTTACCACTTTAAGTTTATCAAACATATTCTATTCAGCAAGAGCTTTGTACAAAAAATCTTTGACCTGATCTCCTGTATGTAATGGGCAAAATGCTCAATTGTGATTAAGGATTGGTACATTGTAAAATCTTCAGAAAGCCAGTGGGCTGTTATGCCAATATATGGAATGTGGTTTTGAGTCCACAAATCAGTAGTAATGCAAACACAAACTGTTGTTTAAGACATTATTTCTTTTAATATTGTGTGTGTATAAAGTACTAATTCTTTAATTATAATTTTAATTGTATTAGTACAGAGAACTTCAAATCATCGATTGATTTTATAACAAAAGTCTCTAAACTGATACAATTCAATGGCATTATTTTCTCAACTATCCAAGCAATGAGTTGGTAAGTAATATGATTTTGTTGTTTTTCAGGGAGAGACAAGGCATTCTCTATATGCTTTTGTATTACTGTTTCAATTGTTTGTTAAGAGATTGGCATAGTGATTGTAGCTAATAGTAGGGGTTGTTATGCTTCCTATTTTTGGGGTTTAAAAATCTTATGTTCAGTGCACAAATGTGCAGCTATATTAGTTGTTAATGTTTTGGGCATAAACACTATTGTACATTTTTTAGAAGTGCTATCATCGTCATATATATGAACATCACAATATTTGATCTTTGTTGATTTATCACAGTGAGTATATTTCCATACCCAGCTACTCATGGGTTTATTTTTTTTTTTTGCACAATATTAGAATTTAAATTTTTTTTTGTAGAGACTTTATGGGAAATAAAGTAAGATGTAATAGATAAAGGCCCTGCTCTATTCTTATCCTCTTCAGTATGGCCATCATATTCATTATAGTTATCATTTTTATTACTACTATCATTTTTATAAATAATATTTTCATCATTAACAATGCTTTCATCATTAACAATGTTTTCATTATCAACATTAAAGATTCTTTCATACTCGAACAATATGTTATATTCACTAGTAATGTCATCAAGTAATTGGTTGTTATATATCTTTAAGGCAAATTATTCCAAAACTTATATTTGAGTATATTGGTATGTAATAGTAAGAGCTTAATACAATACATTATATATTATTTTTTAAATACATATTTATTAAAAACAAATTATTTATTATTTATTATTTATTAGGGTTCAATGCAAGATTCTTTGACCCAGAGAACATATGAGTATAAAGAAATTAGATACACCAAAAATTTTTCCATCAAGCTATATTTTACATTTATCATGCACTAGTATAATATTATATAGCTATAGTATTATACAAGTGACTTTCATTACAGCAATTTTATGTCGAGAGAATTCTATATATGCTTTTATTAGTTGAAATCAGTATTGTCAATTAGACTAATTGAATTCATAAAATTAGATATGTCTAATTGGCAAATACTGTATTCAATTTAGTTTGATTGTGTCAATTCTTTACTATAGCAAGAGTTTACTATAACTAGAATGAGACAGATTATATTATGAGCAGAGCAGTTTTTATTTGTTATACATTAAAAATTTTTCAGTAAATAAATTGTTTAATGCTATAATGAATATCAATACCATGTTTATGTGTTGCATATTTATGTAATCAGCACAATTGGATATGTTCAATTCTGATTGAAAATATATCTACTTAGTCCAATTGGCAAATACTGTATTTGAGTTAGAATTTTGATTGTATCGGTTCTTTACTATAACAAGAGTTTACTTATTATAAAAAAATTTCTTTTGGGCAGAGCAGTTTTTATTTATTGGAGCATACTACTGTAATTTTACACTAAAAAATTTTTCAGTAAATAAAATTCTTTTTTTTTTTTTATTCAAATTGGTTATCATATTGTTGTTTAACGCTATAATAGATACCAATACCATGTTTATATGTTGCATATCTATGCAATTAGTATATAATCTTGTTCATAATACCAAAATTTTGGATCTTGTATATGGTTTTTATAGATTTCAGGTCAACTTATATAATTTAGGGGGCTACTATTTCCACAATGGTTACACAAGATTTACTATTTTTAGATTATAATATAAAAAACTCATAACCCTAACACTAACTCTAACCTTTAACCCTAACACTAACTCTAATCTCTCTAACTCTAACCCAAACTCTAAACTTAATAAGTAAACATTTCTTCTAGCTTTAAGTAAGATTGTAGAAGAGACTTTTCTGGTTTTAATGGTGGTTAGATCCCAAGATATTTGGGGTTAAAGGCGCGAACATAAAGATCTACAAATTTACTGTTACACAAAGTATTATAGTTTATAATACTTATATTCACATCTTTAAATCCAAATATCTTTGGATCCACCAGGCCGATTTTAATGATCTAACCATCATTAGAACCAAAAGAAAGGTTTACTTATTAAAAACATCTTTAATTTTTAAAAAACTAACTTTAGCTTTAATTATTCTAACTTTAACCC